ACTACTTTTCAAAAAGTAGCTAAAAAGTAGTCCACTACTTTTACAAAAGTAGCTAAAAAGTAGACACTACTTTTCAAAAAGTAGCTAAAAAGTAGTGCACTACTTTTCAAAAAGTAGCTTAATAGTAGGCACTACTTTTCAACAAGTAGCTAAAAAGTAGACACTACTTTTCAAAAAGTAGCTAAACAGTAGTGCACTACTTTTCAAAAAGTAGCTAAAAAGTAGTGCACTACTTTTCAAAAAGTAGCTAAAATGTAGTGCAAAACTTTTCAAAAAGTAGCTAAAAAGTAGACACTACTTTTCAAAAAGTAGCTAAAAAGTAGTCCACTACTTTTCAAAAAGTAGCTAAAAAGTAGTGCACTACTTTTCAAAAAGTAGCTAAAATGTAGTGCAACACTTTTCAAAAAGTAGCTAAAAAGTACACATTAGTTTTTTGAAAAAGTAGCTAAAAAGTAGTGCACTACTTTTCAAAAAGTAGCTAAAAAGTAGGCACTACTTTTCAAAAAGTAGCTAAAAAGTAGACACTACTTTTCCAAAAGTAGCTAAAAAGTAGGCACTACTTTTCAAAAAGTAGCTAAAAAGTAGTGCACTACTTTTCCAAAAGTAGCTAAAAAGTAGACACTACTTTTCAAAAAGTAGCTAAAAAGTAGTGCAATACTTTTGAAAAAGTAGCTAAAAAGTAGTGCAGTACTTTTCAAAAAGTAACTAAAAAGTACTGCACTACTTTTCAAAAAGTAGCTAAAAAGTAGTGCACTACTTTTCAAAAAGTAGCTAAAAAGTAGACACTACTTTTCAAAATGTAGCTAAAAAGTAGTGCACTACTTTTGAAAAAGTAGCTAAAACGCAGACACTACTTTTCAAAAAGTAGCTAAAAAGCAGGCACTACTTTTCAAAAAGTAGCTAAAAAGTAGTGCACTACTTTTCCAAAAGTAGCTAAAAAGTAGACACTACTTTTCAAAAAGTAGCTAAAAAGTAGTGCAATACTTTTGAAAAAGTAGCTAAAAAGTAGTGCAGTACTTTTCAAAAAGTAACTAAAAAGTACTGCACTACTTTTCAAAAAGTAGCTAAAAAGTAGTGCCTACTTTTGAAAAAGTAGCTAAAAAGTAGACACTACTTTTCAAAAAGTAGCTAAAAAGTAGTGCACTACTTTTCAAAAAGTAGCTAAAAAGTAGTGCACTACTTTTCAAAAAGTAGCTAAAAAGTAGTGCACTACTTTTGAAAAAGTAGCTAAAAAGTAGACACTACTTTTCAAAAAGTAGCTAAAAAGCAGGCACTACTTTTCAAAAAGTAACTAAAAAGTAGTCACTACTTTTCAAAAAGTAGCTAAAATGTAGTGCAAAAACTTTTCAAAAAGTAGCTAAAAAGTAGGCACTACTTTTCAAAAAGTAGCTAAAATGTAGTGCAAAACTTTTCAAAAAGTAGCTAAAAAGTACACACTACTTTTCAAAAAGTAGCTAAAAAGTAGACACTACTTTTCCAAAAGTAGCTAAAAAGTAGGCACTACTTTTCAAAAAGTAGCTAAAAAGTAGTCCACTACTTTTCAAAAAGTAGCTAAAAAGTAGAAACTACTTTTCAAAAAGTAGCTAAAAAGTAGACACTACTTTTCAAAAAGTAGCTAAAAAGTAGTGCACTACTTTTCAAAAAGTAGCTAAAAAGTAGACACTACTTTTTAAAAAGTAGCTAAAAAGTAGGCACTACTTTTCCAAGAGTATTTAAAAAGTAGGCACTACTTTTCAAAAAGTAGCTAAAAAGTAGTCCACTACTTTTCAAAAAGTAGCTAAAAAGTAGTGCACTACTTTTCAAAAAGTAGCTAAAAAGTAGTGCACTACTTTTTGAAAAGTAGCTAAAAAGTAGACACTACTTTTCAAAAAGTAGCTAAAAAGTAGTCACTACTTTTCAAAAAGTAGCTAAAAAGTAGACACTACTATTCAAAACGTCGCTAAAAAGTAGTGCAATACTTTTGAAAAGGTAGCTAAAAAGTAGACACTACTTTTTAAAAAGTAGCTAAAAAGTAGTGCAGTACTTTTCAAAAAGTACGTTTAAAAGTAGACACTACTTTTCAAAAAGTAGCTAAAAAATAGTCCAGTCCTTTTCAAAAAGTAGCTAAAAAGTAGACACTACTTTTCAAAAAGTAGCTAAAAAGTAGTGCAAAACTTTTCAAAAAGTAGCTAAAAAGTAGTGCAATACTTTTCAAAAAGTAGCTAAAATGTAGTCACTACTTTTCAAAAAGTAGCTTAATAGTAGGCACTACTTTTCAACAAGTAGCTAACAAGTAGACACTACTTTTCAAAAAGTAGCTAAACAGTATTGCACTACTTTTCAAAAAGTAGCTAAAAAGTAGTGCACTACTTTTCAAAAAGTAGCTAAAATGTAGTGCAAAACTTTTCAAAAAGTAGCTAAAAAGTAGACACTACTTTTCAAAAAGTAGCTAAAAAGTAGTCCACTACTTTTCAAAAAGTAGCTAAAAAGTAGTGCACTACTTTTCAAAAAGTAGCTAAAATGTAGTGCAACACTTTTCAAAAAGTAGCTAAAAAGTACACACTAGTTTTTTGAAAAAGTAGCTAAAAAGTAGTGCACTACTTTTCAAAAAGTAGCTAAAAAGTAGGCACTACTTTTCAAAAAGTAGCTAAAAAGTAGACACTACTTTTCCAAAAGTAGCTAAAAAGTAGGCACTACTTTTCAAAAAGTAGCTAAAAAGTAGTGCACTACTTTTCCAAAAGTAGCTAAAAAGTAGACACTACTTTTCAAAAAGTAGCTAAAAAGTAGTGCAATACTTTTGAAAAAGTAGCTAAAAAGTAGTGCAGTACTTTTCAAAAAGTAACTAAAAAGTACTGCACTACTTTTCAAAAAGTAGCTAAAAAGTAGTGCACTACTTTTCAAAAAGTAGCTAAAAAGTAGACACTACTTTTCAAAATGTAGCTAAAAAGTAGTGCACTACTTTTCAAAAAGTAGCTAAAAAGTAGTGCACTACTTTTGAAAAAGTAGCTAAAAAGTAGACACTACTTTTCAAAAAGTAGCTAAAAAGCAGGCACTACTTTTCAAAAAGTAACTAAAAAGTAGTGCACTACTTTTCAAAAAGTAGCTAAAATGTAGTGCAAAACTTTTCAAAAAGTAGCTAAAAAGTAGGCACTACTTTTCAAAAAGTAGCTAAAATGTAGTGCAAAACTTTTCAAAAAGTAGCTAAAAAGTACACACTACTTTTCAAAAAGTAGCTAAAAAGTAGTCCACTACTTTTCAAAAAGTAGCTAAAAAGTAGAAACTACTTTTCAAAAAGTAGCTAAAAAGTAGACACTACTTTTCAAAAAGTAGCTAAAAGTAGTGCACTACTTTTCAAAAAGTAGCTAAAAAGTAGACACTACTTTTTAAAAAGTAGCTAAAAAGTAGTCCACTACTTTTCCAAGAGTATTTAAAAAGTAGGCACTACTTTTCAAAAAGTAGCTAAAAAGTAGTCCACTACTTTTCAAAAAGTAGCTAAAAAGTAGTGCACTACTTTTCAAAAAGTAGCTAAAAAGTAGTGCACTACTTTTTGAAAAGTAGCTAAAAAGTAGACACTACTTTTCAAAAAGTAGCTAAAAAGTAGTCCACTACTTTTCAAAAAGTAGCTAAAAAGTAGACACTACTATTCAAAACGTCGCTAAAAAGTAGTGCAATACTTTTGAAAAGGTAGCTAAAAAGTAGACACTACTTTTTAAAAAGTAGCTAAAAAGTAGTGCAGTACTTTTCAAAAAGTACGTTAAAAGTAGACACTACTTTTCAAAAAGTAGCTAAAAAATAGTCCAGTCCTTTTCAAAAAGTAGCTAAAAAGTAGACACTACTTTTCAAAAAGTAGCTAAAAAGTAGTCCAGTCCTTTTCAAAAAGTAGCTAAAAAGTAGACACTACTTTTCAAAAAGTAGCTAAAAAGTAGACACTACTTTTCAAAAAGTAGCTAAAAAGTAGTGCACTACTTTTCAAAAAGTAGCTAAGATGTAGTGCAAAACTTTTCAAAAAGTAGCTAAAAAGTACACACTACTTTTTATAAAGTAGCTAAAAAGTAGGCACTACTTTTTAAAAAGTAGCTAAAAAGTAGTCCACTACTTTTCCAAAAGTAGCTAAAAAGTAGACACTACGTTTTACAAAGTAGCTAAAAAGTAGTGCACTACTTTTCAAAAAGTAGCTAAAAAGTAGTGCACTCCTTTTCAAAAAGTAGCTAAAAAGTAGTGCACTGCTTTTCCAAAAGTAGCTAAAAAGTAGGCACTACTTTTCAAAAAGTAGCTAAAAAGTAGTGCAGTACTTTTCAAAAAGTAGCTAAATTGTAGACACTACTTTTCAAAAAGTAGCTAAAAAGTAGGCACTACTTTTTAAAAAGTAGCTAAAAAGTAGACACTACTTTTGAAAAAGTAGCTAAAAAGTAGACACTACTTTTCAAAAAGTAGCTAAAAAGTAGTGCACTACTTTTCAAAAAGTAGCTAAAAAGTAGACACTACTTTTCAAAAAGTAGCTAAAAAGTAGGCTCTACTTTTCAAAAAGTAGCTAAAAAGTAGTGCAGTAATTTTCAAAAAGTAGCTAAAAAGTAGTGCACTACTTTCAAAAAGTAGCTAAAAGTAGGCACTACTTTTCAAAAAGTAGCTAAAAAGTAGTGCACTACTTTTCAAAAAGTAGCTAAAAAGTAGTGCACTACTTTTCAAAAAGTAGCTAAAACGTAGTGCACTACTTTTCAAAAAGTAGCTAAAAAGTAGACACTACTTTTCAAAAAGTAGCTAAAAAGTAGTGCACTACTTTTCCAAAAGTAGCTAAAAAATAGTGCACTACTTATCAAAAAGTAGCTAAAAAGTAGACACTACTTTTCAAAAAGTAGCTAAAAAGTAGGAACAATTTTTCTGGAAAAGTTCCAGAAAAGGATTTGGAACAGAACTGTAGCTGCTATAAATTTTGGGAAAGTAACTACTAAGTAGCTAATTACTAATTTTTCAGTAGCTATAGCAACACTGATAAAGAGCCTGAACAATTCCCCCTTTGTCATGTGGACTTCCTACCTGTGCCATTCCCCCACACTCTCTCAGGAAAGGGCAGGTATACTAACGTCAGTGTTTGTTTATTTATTTATTTATTTATTTATTTATGTATGTATGTATGTATGTATGTATGTAACCCTGTCCTGTGAGTTAAAGCTCTAAATGAGCGCTTCTTATTTATTTCCTGTCATTGTCTTTTCTTAATCAGTTTTCTTGTTCAGTTTTCTGCTCAGGCCCATTCTGCTACAGCAGCTTCCACCCAGAAACAGCTGTACTGAAGGAAGGAGGGGGAGAGGTGTTGCTTGCTGTCTTCCTGGATCGCCCATTGTAGCTTTAACTAACAAAAGCAGAGACCTTTCCTCAACTGAAGGTCCTCCAAAGTGATTTCCACCGAACTAAATGAGAAAAGACGATGACGGTTGTGGCGGCGACACTCTGTGTCGTCTTGCTGCTGGTATTATTTGTTTCGACTCTCGGGGGTGAGTGCTTTTCTTCAGTTCTCTCAAGCAGTGTGAATTATTTACTGCGCCATCACAGAAAACGAAAGTAAACTGTCACGGACAGTAAACTCTGTGAAGTAACACAAAGAGTGAAGCATAGACATCATTAAAGAGTTGGGGATAGCACCGCGGTCAAGTCGTCTCGCGGTTAGCGATTCGGATTTCTACCGGCTGTAACTCCGGAATTCAGGAACGTACATCCACAAACACGGGTGCGCTTAGTTAGCCCTGATTTGAGAATTCAGATGAAGTTCCACACCAAACTCCGCCAATATCATTTTCTAAAGCTTATAACTTCAAACGTTGAGCTCTCGGACGAATGAAAAAGGCTCAGACTGACCAGGCAGAGCTGGATTTGTGAAAAGATTCACAAATGGAGCTCAGGATGTTTGATTGCTCCGTGCAGCTGTTTCTCCTCAGGAATGAGACTATCTGCCTCTGCAGCTTAATTCCACATACACACATTATCAGTAACCTTGCAGATTCCCTTGTTGTACAGATTACTTGATTTGGAAAAACATTCACAGATGGATTTTGTGATATTTTATTGTTTTATACAGGTCTGTTTCCATTACCATGCATACAAAATTGAATATCATTATCCAAACATTGACACAGTAATATACATGTCAAGAGATGCAAACAGGCTGGAATTATTTATCAGTCATCAATTAAAAAGCTGTTGCTCAGAAAAGCTGAAAAAATGTGCTTATAACATTGGAACTCAATTTAAAATATATACACTATAATAATCACATAATACATGCATGCACAAAGTCATGCAGTGTTGGTTATCATCTGATTTGTGAAACCCTTTACAAACATGGTTTGGTGTATTTGAGTGATTTATGCAGTTCTACTCTCACTTTCATATGTAATAACACAGTAGTTCAGCCTTTGGTAGCAGATATAGAACATTAGTGTGTATAACTTTAATAACTGATCAAGTATAGAGACAACAGCACACTCAAATGAACCTTTCTGATTTGTGAAAACCTTTACAAACACGGTTTGGTATATTTGAGTAATTTATGCAGTTCTACTCTAATTTTCATTTGTAATAAAACAGTAGTTCAGCTTTTGGTGGCAGATATAGAACATTAATGCATATAACTTTAATAACTGATCAAGTGTAGAGATAATAGCACATTAATATTTAACTTTTCTGATTTGTGAAAATTTTCAGAAATACATTCATGTCTATTATTCCTTTATTGATAAATTTGGCAAAAAGCTGAATATTTGGAAGGCTTTACTCTGAAACGCCATATACACTTACAGGAGCAATGATTTTTCACTTGTTTTAGCCATTACCTGATTTAACTTTCATAAACATGTCTTTTTTTATATTTGAGTGATTTATGTAGTTCTGCTCTAATTCTCAGGTGTAAAAACACAGTAGTTCCTCTTTTGGGGGCAAATATAGAACACCACTGTAAATAACTTTAATAACTGATCAAGTATAAAGATAACTATACTAATATTAATTTCTCTGATTTGTGACATATTTCACAACTACATGAATGTCTACCAGTCCTTTATTTATCATTTTTTGCAATATAAAGTTGAATATTTGGAAGGCTTTACTCTGAAACACCATGTACACTTACAGAAGCAATGATATTTCACTTGTTTTAGCCATTACCTGATTTGTGTTACTGCAGAGCTGAGAATGATCCACCAACCAAATAATACCTCTCTCTGGAGGTCCTGTGGGGGTCCTGACCATTGAAGATCAGGGTGAAAAGGGTTAACAAAGTATGCAGATACACAGATGGACTACAGTCTGAAACTGTAGAACTACAAAGTGCTCCAATAAGGTAGCTGGGGCTGGTAAAATGGACAGTGACTGTAGATGCAAAGGAAGTGTATTTAACTGAGTGGCTGGTCAATGTGTGTGTTTTGATGTAAATGCTTTGCACATTTTGTACAATTAAATGTTTTTTAATCTGAAGACTTTTGATTTTGTTAAATTAAAACGTACAGCCATTGAAGTAAATGAAAACATTAAATGAAAAATAATGAATTAAATAAAAACAGAGTTTTCTCAGGTTGGAGCACTGATTAACTGGAATACATTTCACAGGAGAAAATGTAACATCATATTATAAAACATCATATCAAGTTTTCACAAATCATTTAATAACTAAAACAAGTTAATAACATTGCTAATAAAAATTGCTATATTTCAAAAATTACTCCAAAGACAGACTTTTCATTGGAAAAGTGCAATGAATTACAAAAGCATGACAGAAGGTAGGACATGATAAGTAATTAAAAGATATATGCACCAACATTTTATATTTGGTCTTTTCACAAATCCAGCTCTGTTTAATTAAACACATTTGCATAGATTTTGAAGTCATTTTTGTTGAAAATCACTTGCCGAGGCCAAAAACACTTCTATTTCACTTACTTTCACTTTCTGTGCTCGCGGTCTGCCCAGGCCACTGTCCAAATAAGGACAGTGAAGCTTTCACAAATCAGCCTGGTCAGTCTGAGCCTGTTTCATTCATCTGAGAGCTAGACTTTTGAAGTTATAAGCTTTAGAAAATAAAACCCGATGTGTAATATTGGCGGATGTGCCTTACTGCATTCCATAGTTATAGCCGATACAAATCCAAATCGATAACCGCAAGACAACTTTACTGCGGTGATGAATGCTACTGTACAAGCTGAGAAGATCATTCTTTACTGATCTATTGTACATCAGTTAGTTCCGGCCACGCGAGCTGATTGGTTGAGAAGCATTCTAACTGTGCTGTTATTTCACCATAACATCACAGATTTCTCACAAACACCATATCACTCCGCTGAGACGCTGTTGCTGGGCAACAAGTTTGACAGCTGTAGGAGACGCTCAGCCATTTGCACGTTTTTACTTCTTACTTTGCCACAAACAGAAAATGGACGCTTTTAAGATCACATTTGACCGACAGCCAATTTGGTCAGACTCTGAAGATGAGACGACACTAAATTCCCAAACTGTCATCACCACTGAGCAGCTTTTCAGTCAGCAGCTGTGACAGAAGAACAGCTGAACAACCTGGAATCAGCCAGAAATGAACTCAGTACCATTTGCCAAACTAAATGGGCTGTAAGATACAGACTGGCTGGAACAAAATAAGGATTCAAACTGCTGACTCGCCTTCGTGCCTGCGACCAAATCACAGCCATGATTTTATTTCGCAATACCACACCCCCTCTTGTGTTCTACTGCTTAATTCATTTATTTTTTCCACAGATAAACACTCCCTGTATTATCTCTACACTCACCAGTCCAGAAACTCTTCAGACAGAGTCTCTGAGTTCAGTGCAGTGACTCTGCTGGATGACAGACAGATTGACTCCTACAGCAGTACAGACGGGGTCAGGACTCCTAAACAGGACTGGATGAATGAGATGAAGGAGAGAGAGTGGAAATCAGGCACAGAAAAGCTGAAGTATGATGGGGAACTGTTAAACCAGGTTGACATACATATGAAGACCTTAAGACACAATAAGCCAGGTGAGAACAATCTTTTTATTTTTACCTTCATGATCTTCATGCGGAAGATTCATTTAAATCTTCATTTAAAAGATCTGGTTCAACTGCACGTTCAGAATTCAGTAAAAAACTCCAGATTCCTCCAGACAAGTGTAGATCTGGTTATGTTTTATCTGGAAGAGTCAGTGAAGGGGTATTCTGTAAACCATGGAGAAGGAAAAAGGAAAAACAAAAACTCTAAAAACTAAAACTTTGGACTTCAGTGTTGAAAAATGGGGCTACTTTTGTAGGTGATAGCATGCTAAAAAATCCAAATATGTAGCAGCATGCAGAAGAAAACATGTTTTATTATTCAAAAATAACTGAGGAACACTGAGGGTAGGTCTGATGACACTGATCAGTAGGTTTTTGTGTTGGATGAGTAATGTATGCTGCCTCTTCAGATGGGCTTATACTAACACTACAGCTGTTTTTGGAAGGAGTTAACATCAGACTGAGTAGTTAGCCTAGTTAGCAATAAAGCTGTGGCAGAGCCAGCCGCACTCTCACAAAGTGTGATATAATATACCTTACAAATATGAACAAAACAGTCACATTCTGTTAAAACATGAAATGTTAGAGTGTCTGATCATTTATATTGGTCTCTGTTCTTCATTTACGTTTCAGATGGTCACACTCTGCAGTGGAGAGTCGGCTGTGAGGGTGAAAATCATTCTGGTGGCTTACTTTTAGTGTTAAACTGCATTAATGAATACGGCTACGATGGACAGAACTTAATCTCTTATAACTGGACCTGGAGAAAATGGTCATCCTCAGTCAGTCAGCCTAAAGCGTTGGAGGAGGAGTGGAACGCTGGGCATGTTGATCAGAGATGTGAAGACTGTGTGCACTGGCTGAGGACGTATTTAAAGTTCAGCACTACTGACACCAAACTGAGTGAGTATTTGAATAACTACCATAATTATGATTGTAACCATAAACCATAAATGTATGATTTTAAAAATAATTTACTGCTTTCTGGAGGCTTGTCTGTGTGATCATCCACCCACTGAAGCTCTTCAGTGGATGCACACACATTCAGAACGTGTTCAAACTGCTATAGCAGCACTGTGGGTCCACACAGCGTCTCTGCTCCACACTCAGAAACCTCACTCTCACCAAACTAATGTGATGTTTCGGGCAGGGCTTGAGCTGCACACACGAGTCTCGTTTGTCTGGCTAGAGTGGATGAAATTATATGACCATGTGCATTAAGCTTTTTACCAGCTGCGTTGTTCAACCTCGACAAGTTTAGACTTCTCTTCTCCCTGTAGAAGTGAAGGCAGACACTGCTTTCCTCCTGAGTCAGTCACAAACCCCCGAAATGCCCGTCTGATTGGTCCACATTTCTACTAATCCAGTAGCGCTGCAGGTGGACATAGACAGACTACAAAAGTGCTGGTTGGTTGTACTTGGATGCTTTATCTGCATTTCAAGCAAGTAACGCTGTGGGCAGGACATTAGGTCAGACTACAGAAGTGTGGAGTTGGATTGTGGTTGCATCAGATATGTGGATACTAGGGGTTGTACAGACTAGTCTACTAATTAACTTGTCGACTTTACTGCTTGGTGATGATGCTTTAGCTTGATGTTGAGTAGTCGCTGATCACGTGACTATGACACTAACAACAAGGTGAGCAGCCTCGTGATTTTGGGATCCATATCTCCAGTTTCCTGAAGACTAGCAATGTGATCCAGTGCTCAATGGATAGGGCACATCACGCTCTAGTGACCTGTGGAGTTTGGCTTCACAGATTTCTCTTGTGGTTTTATTCATGACATCATCAGCGATTAGTCATGGTCAACTCAACATTCATCACATAACTGTCGACTTTAAAAAACCTGAAGTCGTGCAAACCCTGCAGTGTCCAGGTGAACGAAGTTAGACTCCAGTCTCTCTGTTGACCGATACCCATGATAGTATGTTTGAAACATCTTTAAAAAATGAAAACAATGTGTATGTGCATTTCATTTCCTTTTCAGCTCCGCCAGACGTTCATGTGTTTGCAAAGAAATCTACAACTAACTCAGGAATGCTGACCCTGACCTGCCTGGCCACGGGCTTCTACCCCAAAGACGTGGAGATTAAACTGAGGAAGTTCACCACTTCACTGCCTGAACATCTACTGACATCCTCAGGAGTCAGACCCAATGATGATGGAACCTACCAGCTGAGGAAGAGTGTGGAGATCCAGGAGGATGAAGCAGCAGAATACGACTGTTCTGTGACTCACAGCTCCATCGAAGAACCGATAATTAAACAGTGGGGTAATTATATCTGTGTACCTAATGTATTTCTGGTCTTTTATAGTTTAGAATTAGTTTCTCAATGTAAATCTAAACCCAGTTTAACAGAATGGCAGATGTGCAGAGACTAGACCAAAACTACATGATGAGGACAGCTTTAAAGTGTTTCCCCACTTCAGTCAACATTAATATTGCTGTAAATGTTTTTCTGGGCTAAATAGAGCCAGGAGAGCAGGGTTTGCTGGAACGATGTCTTTATTGGAGGAGAGCTCTGTTAATTTGCTGTAGCCCAGTCTGACAACAGTTCTAGCATTCAGGCTTTTGAGCTGAGCAATTTCTCCTGCAGCTATTGGTAAATCTGTTAAGGATTATGTCAGGAACAGGGGCGGTCTTTGCACTAAGCAAACCCCCATGAGCCAAAGGCCCCATGAAAATACAAATTAGATATACTGCAGAACTAAGTTTATATATATAGGCTGCACTGAAATTATATATATATACTGAAATGTGTGTGTGTGTGTGTGTATATATAGCAGCCCCCCCCTTTGGTCATATTTATAATGGACTATTCCATGTTGTTATGAGATAACTCAGCTGTATAAAAACAGATTGGTATAATCAAGGCAATTAAGTGATCCTACATTATGGAGAGAAGGTTCTTCAGTGTGATTTTCTGAGTGTTGAGAGAGAAAATTAAAGTTATCTGAGTGCATTTCAGAAACACAAAAAGAGGCAGAACAGAGCGCAGCACAGGCTCAGCAGGCATTGGTGTGCTCTCCAGAAATAAGGAGGAAATAACTAAAAACAGAATGCTGGGTGAGGTGCGGCGACTAATGAATGGTACAGATCCTTTTACAGAGGTGAATTAGTGTATTTATGAGTAGTTTCATTTTATAATGATATAAATTGTTTGAAAGAATATGTGCAGGAACCTGCCAGGCAAGAAAAAAATATATAAATGATATTTCCAACGAGTACTTAGTAATAGTGAGTGATATACCTGATCATCTGTATGAGTTTCATCATTTCCTTTATACAGATATGGCACAGTGCCATAAGCCCTTAGTGCAGCTAATATACAAACATACAAACAGTGCAAAGCTCACCAGTTCACTCACCTCCTGTGTAGTGAAGGTAATTTAGTCCAGTTCATTGATGGAGTGTCAGAATGTAAAGAGTTAATGAGGGGACAAGAGAGTGGAATGACGAGCTGACCTCTTTTGGTTAGCCATTAGCTTTTAGCCTAGCCTGGAGACATATGGGCTATTAATATTAATTAATAACCATTTCATGTAGTAACTTTCTGTGAGGGAGCTTTTAGAGGTGGACGTCTGGTTCCTATCACCACCACTGTGAACAATTCTGACTTGGTAAGTTTCTCTAGAACCGAGTGTTTTACACCAAAACCACTCTAAATGACTCTGTTTACATCTCAACCATTTAATTATGCAGAGATATAGAAAAATCTGTAATTCCTGTTTAAGCTTCTAAAATGGTTTTATTGGGAACAAATGTACATAAATACCCAATACTGTGATATATACAAAAACTGTGAGAAGTCTTAATTGTACTGTGATATTTTTTCTATCCCTGGTTGGAACGTACCATGGTTAGAATGTACCATGATAACCACAGGAAAAACACTTCTGCTGTCAGTCTTTGTCTTCTCAAGTCAGGAGTTGCCTGCTAGCCAGCTACCTCTGAACTCTGACCTGCCCCCTTGTGGATTTTCTAGAGAAAAGGTGCTGCTCACAGAGCCGCTGTGTGTGCATCCACAGTGGCCACCAAAGCTGAGCACTTTTCATACAGGTACAGAGTTGGGTTCTGTCACTGGGACCTGATGGAGGGCTGAAATTGAAGGAGTCTGTTAAATCTCATACAGACTCCTGAGTTCAGTACTGATGCAGAAGACAACCTGCAGTAGTACACTAGACTGGGATTGGCTGTGACTAATATTTGTAGAGAATAATAATGTTTTCAGTAGCTTTATGCTGGTGCAGTATTGCAGCAGGTTGAGCAAAATCTGTCACCCCTGCAGATGAACGATAGAAGAGAGTCCACTTTAGATTTACTACGTTTTCACTGTCATGTTAGAACAAAAATATACAGCTCTGTGATTTTGTTCAACACCGTTCTGTTTACAGACAAACGCTGCTTTGACTGCGAGAGTTCAGGTTCAGGAATGGTTGGAGGAGTGATTTGTGGAGTGGTGGTGCTTCTGCTGATTTTGGGTGGGATCATCTTCACCCTTATAAAGAAGGGGATAGTTGGTGAGTATAGACTGTAAGTATAAACTGTGCTCAAAGAATGAAGATTAATTATTGAAAATTGACTACCAAAAGGAAAAAAAGCCTCCTGAGGCTTCCACCTCAGCATCTCCATCCTTAAAATGAGATGCACAATGACAGGAAGAAGCTCATCACCAGGGAGATGTGTGGTTAAGATCTTGTTATCAGGAAAGAAAATCTCAGTGCACCTGTTTATTGTAAATTTATATTGGAGAAAAAAAGATCACAAAAAAGATCTCGTCATCATAAAACCAGCAGTTCAGAAAAGTTCTTAACTAATGTTCAGAACACAGTGGTGAATTTACTTAAATACTTCTTGGTCAGTGTGAAATGAGCTAATGTTCCCTCCTTTTTAGCTGAAGTTAGTATTAAATGTTAAGGTCTGAAATGGCCTTGTTTATTTGATGGTTTATGTAGTGAGGTCAGTCTTTTCACAAGTTTATCATAGCTTAGCATCAAATATTGTTTTTCCATTATTTTGACTAAACAAAAATATAAACAATAATAAAAATGCAATTCTGAAAACCAAACAGCAGTTAATGTTCATTTTATATGTACATAATATTTTTTTATTTACCAGGCATTCCAGGTGCTGCAGGTTCTGCAGGTGCTGCAGGTGCTGCGACGACTGCAGCGACTGCTCTGCAAGCCCCGCCAAATGGTCAGTGTCATTGTGATTTTGTTGCACTGTACAGATCACAATCAGTCATTTTAAATTTTCACTATATTGAGCAACATGTTTGATAAAACTACAAAGAAAACTTGACAATTTTTACATCTTCTTCTTCAGGTGTTCCTGAAGAACTCTTGACAGCTGGTAAGTTCTATTTGAGTTTTATTATTACTCAGCAAACTCTACAGTTGAATCACTCTACTAGTACAGCACTGCTGTGACAGCAGCTACGGCTTTACTGTTATATAAGGCAGTAATGTTGCCTGTTTTTTCTGTATTATTTTCTTGATTTAACTAGGTTTCAATAAATTGAGACATAAATAGCTTCTCAAAGGCAAAGCAGAGATAGATACATTGCTGGTTTTAAGACATACACAATGTAGCTCTTTTTGCTTATTTTCATTCATATTTTACTGAACTCTCCTCCAGACCGTAAAGCTGGTGGTGGTTCTGACGCCGGTTCTGACTCTGGTAATGATGTTCCACTTTAAAAACATTTGAGAAAAGCAATATTTGGAAATAATAAATGTTTCTCCACTGTAACTCAGTTGTGATGTGGCCTTATTGTTTCTTTCTCAGGACAGGGAACTGGCTCAACCAATAGCAGCAATGGAAACATTGGGAATGGATCATCTGGTAATTTTTCTCCTCATAAACGTCTAAAAACTCAAGACATGCTTTTCTCATGATGGGCAGGTACAAAGAAATAACCATGTGCAGTCTAAAAGGCTTTTCAGTGTATAGGGAGTTTTTATTGTATAGGGAATGTCCTGCAAGTACTGACTGAGAGAGAGACCAGTCCAGCTCTACAGACTGAGCAGCTGAGCAGAGTGACAGCCTGCTGTGTTCAGTGTGAGAGCAGCTTCGGTTTTCATAGCCCTTTTCTCCAGTAACCAGTTCCAGTAGGGCAGATAATGCAGAAACACCAAAGAAAAGCCTGCAGCATGTTTTCCCATGTTGGTCAGTCACAAGGAAATCTAGTCTAATTTCAGGTTTCATGTTCAGGTTTTTATTGTATAGGGAAATTTCTGTGAATATTGACTGAAAGAGAGACCACCCAACTCTACAGACTGAGCAGCTGATGCCACGCTTATCATGAAAGCTGCTTTGGTTTTTATAACCAGTTTAAGTACGGCAGATAATGCAGTAGCAGCTCAGAGAGGCTTAAACCAGAGAAAACAAACACGCTAGTGCTTCTGATCAGAAATTCAGCAGTTGCTTCTTGTTAGCTCTGTGGAGCCGAGCGTCTCACCATCAGGGTATTCTGAGAATTAATGAACAGACGCTCTACCCTTTTCCTCCTCTTTGGCAGTGCAGTGCCTTTCCCAGTGCACTGTGCTGATTACGATATAGCACTGCCACTCAGCGTAAGGCCACAGTTACAGTCACAAATGACAGAAATCCGCTTATGATAAGGCAGAGTTTTCCCGGCAGAGTTACGTCGAGACCTGGAGGCAGTGTGAAATTTGACGGAGGCAGCCGCCTCGTGATTCTCTATGCAGGAAATATCCTGGACATGTAGGCATAAAAATGATACTCCTCAGCTCTCTACATAAAGACTGAGATCTATTAAAGTGTAAACAGATGTGATTAAGATTACCTCTGCATTCTCTGCAGAAGGTGTTTGCGTATTTTGGGGGAGAATGGGATTTTCTGACAACTAGTGGAAAGTGGATGTCCTGCAGAATTTATGGGAAATGTGACTGTTTCTGATGTACGGCTTCCTGAAGTGACTTCCTGTCCCTGTGCACATGCTTGTTTTTTCCTGTACTCTGGCACATCTGACCAGCATTAATTAATTAATGGGGATCAACTGGGAGTTAATTAATTGATTAATTAGCCGAATCAGGTGTGCTACATGATGGAAAGCATAAAATTGTCCAAAAGGTTGTCTGTGAAATTATAGCCTTGTTGAACATGCTTTTATTGCTGAATCAGAATATTAAGAGTCTATTGCGTTATGTTTGAAAATAAATTTGTAGATACGACTGCTTACGTTTATTACTGTCAGTAGTATAAGATACTATGTAAGAGTGTGTAATGACTGGAAATGAGTCAGAATGTTCGAATAATGAAATAATCATGAAAGAAAAAAAAATAGTAAATTAATTGATTAAATTTTTTTATTAAAAATATCATTTTAAATTAAATTAATTGAATGATTTTCAATATGCAGATGAGCTTATCTGTAATGTTTTGCATGCTCATAAGAGCCATGAGACGTTTGACCTCTGTACTCCATCAGAGGGTAGAGCCAGCATGTACATTTTGGTCAGAGATTCTTATCAGTTTGATCTGAAAAGAAAGCACAGAAAGACTACTGCAGCAACCTAAAGACTGCTGTATACAAGAGGGTCTGTAACGCTCTCAGAATCCTTTTTTACATTTTATCAGGTTTGGTAACGGCTAACGGACACGTCACACATTGCTCTTCTCCAGCTAAAGGCTAAGAGGTGGAATACAAAGTGGCTAGGCTAATTACATTAGCTGAGGTGGAAACAGAAGAGTAGAATTTGCTTGTCTAACAGACTTTAGACACCGTTCTCTGTGTAAATGTCAAGCCACGTCACCTACTATAGATTTTACTGGGTTTAATACAGTACAGTTACAGTAAGATACTGATTGGTGTCCCCATATCTGGTCATTGTGTCCTGTGGTTGCCTGTAGCCAAGATTCCAAAACCATTTATTTATTTTTTAATGCCTTAAAAATTAATTTATTAAATTTGACTGAACTAATTGGAGGAAATGGAGAATAATGTAATATAAATAAGTAAATACAATAAATAAATACATTTAAAAATAAATACACTTTCATATATAAGGCCACAGGTGTTGTTAAGCTACTTTAATGGTCTTTAACTTCAGCCCAAACCTTGAACAGCTTTTTTATTGCAGTGTCTCTCTTTGTTTTGACCCATCTTGTCCTCTTCTGCTGTTTTACTGGCAGTGGCCCATGTTCATACAAGTTGCATAAGGTCAAATCTGATAGTAAAATTAGTGCACGCTCATTTCACTTTTGTTCCTCATCAGTTTTATCTTTGGCATATCTGTACTATCAGACTCACTGGTAGGAGTGTGTATTAATTTGAGCATAATAGTTTAACAACCTGAAGTTTGGGGTTAACTATCCAAAATCATTAGTGATATCGTCTATAATTCCAATAATAAGAATAAAAATAGAGAATAAAAATAATACATAGTACATTTAAGCACATGGCAGTCAGGCAATAAGACAAAATGGAGCCAAATGTCCTTTGATTTCATCATAGTTACATGATATGATTTCATGGTTGTAGTATTTTATGAGTAACACAGTACAACTTCTAATCGCTCCTATAGCCAGCTGCATAGCCTGTAGACTAAACTGAGCATCTACTGGAACTAGACTAAAACTTTAGACTTTAGCCTATAAAATGGTGATACATACCTGTAAATCCCAAGATGTCTGAGTCTCTCTGGGTCCCGTAGCATCTGGCCACACTGAAGGAGTGCCTCTGTATTCAAATGGTAAATTAAAATTACATCCACAGTAGTTTTATTAACCTACAGATTAGCTGTTAGTTAGATTGTGCAGGTATCCTGGTTTACATGCTGATCTGGAAAATCTTCATTGTTTTCAGGTTCATAAAGAACCTGAGAAATGTGTTGTCCTGGTTTATTGGAAGCAGATTCATTCTAATCTTTGAACCAGTTAGTGCCAGATGACAAACGTGGAACTGTGGTTAGCATTTCAAAATTTTTGGTATCTGACTGAAACGATCGTCCAACGTTATAAAACATAATGCAGTACTCAAGGCTTTCTCTTGAAAATGTAAGTGTAGTTTAGTGTGTTTGCTTATTCTTCTTCTCTGCCTTTTCCAGGTAATGGGCACACATACGCGAATGGCACGAATGGAGCTCCTGCTACCACTTAATCTGCTGTTTCAACACCTCAGACCAGCCAGCTCAACGACTCAGTTTCAGCATTTTACTGTACATTTCAGATATCAAGGCCTTTAACACTTCAGACACAATCCTCAGCATACATTTCAGAACTCTTCTGCTGATCACTGTGTAAATGATGTTTGAGTATATTAAACAGAACCACCAGTAAATGTGTTAAGAGTGACTGTAGACAAACAAGACAATCCTTTATTGGTCCCACAGGGGGAGATCCTCAACATACCGTAACATATGTGTGTCACAGTAGCAGGTCAGGAAAGTTGAAATGGTGGGGACCTCTGATGCAATTATTTCATCAAGTTAGTTGCATCAGATATCATCTAGAACCATGTTTTCATAGAGGTCAGCTGTATATTTCATACTTTTTGGCACTTCTGGATAAGGTGTATCCAGTCAAAGCATTTCAGTGCTTTTAATGATTGTTTTTGTGTTTGGATTTCTCTTTAGCTTTAAATCAGTAGATACTCAATAAGCTTGACTCATAATTCGCAATACTGAACTGTGCAGTTCTAAACAGCAGATTATACATCATAGTGCCTAACTGCATCATGCATACTTACACCTGTCTTTAATTTTATCCTGTCCTGCATTTCCAGCTGTAATGTTATAAAGAACTCAGAACCCAAGATGGAATGATTTTACATGTATGTTATGTTTCTTTAAGCTTTTTATATCTTTATTTGGTGCAGCCTCAGTAAGGCCACAAGCAAGTTAACATTGATTCTTCTGCAGAAAAAACTGTTACATGCATTTTTTTTTGCAAATATAATAATGTTCATATTATTTGAAAGAATATAATTCTTAATTGTTAATTGATTTTGTTGCTAGTGTTTTAATTGCTAGTTGATTTGATCATTTTCGTTGCTCTGTATATGTAAATCTCTGGGTTTCTAAAACCTCATCGTTCAGTAATTCCATACAGACATTTCTGTTCATACATTTTTTGATCCTCAATCCTAGTTCTGGGGTGTCCAGGAAATCCAGGCTTTTCCTGCTCTAACTTCCTTAATTTGAATTCCAGATTGGATCATTAACACAGCTACACAGAACCAGAACTCTACTAGAAATTCATTCAGAAGATCAGAATAAACATCCTTGATCCAGTACTTGCCACTCATCTGCCACATGCACTGAAACAAGGGATGAACTTTGCTGTTGGCTTTGTAATAAACACCCATCTGCTCTATTCAGTGTAGCTCTTCAGTGGCTCCATCTCTGGAACCTCAGAGCCAAACACAGATACTTTTCAGTGCTGAAGACGTAATGTTTTGGAAAATCAGCCATGAGCACACCGAGCTATAAACCATTAACACGTTCCTGTGCTTACATTTCTAAATTTCATCAGCAATGACTGCGTTTATCCTCAGTCATTAGAAACCAAAATAAAAATACAGACACAGAGCAGCATGTAGAACCATGAACACTCAAAGAATCATGTGCATGATTGAAGGGTTCTTTACATGGTGAAGTAGTTCTTCAGATTGATAGAGGATGTGTTGTAGATGGTTCTATATAGCACTTTTAAATGGTCCTAGAGGGCACCAAAAAGGTTTTGACATCAAACCCCTTTTTGGAACTATGTAGAACTATATACAACACATTCTCCATCAATCTGAAGAACCATTTCACTATGCAGAGAACCCTTTAATCATGCAAAGGGTTCTCTGAGTATTCGTGGTTCAATATAGAACCATTTTTCACTAAACAACCCTTGAAGAACCATCTCGATCTAGAGGCGACACATTGTCACTTAAGCTTTTTGAGGACACTTTAAGAGTGCACAGCGAGCCATTTCACACCAAACCCCTCTGACCACGGGAAAGTTAGTTTTGTTTTCGATATTCGTCTTTTCAGCGCTAATAACGTTTGATCGGACTACGGTGGTCAGTACAGACTTACATATTCATGACAGTCTGACCACAGAGAGTGATGCACACCTGTGCTTTTACAGTTTGGGTGACATTTAACGTATCGCTATTTTGTGTTAATACCACAGAACTGAGACACGTTTTTCAGTCGAAAGAAAAATCATGCACTTCTAGACCACGCCCACATCCATGGACACGCCTCTGTTTTCCTCCAAAGCGTTTCAGTGTATTTAAATACATATTTTAATTATTCATGCTAACAATAGACACCACGTCAATAGCTCCATAAACACTGTGTCCATACACATCTGATTAATGGTGTTATTTGCTCTAAATTATGGTTAGAAATACAAACCACTTTAATTTAGAAAAAGGACTTTGAATTAACCTGTAACTAAAATGTACTCACCAATACTTGTCCTAAGACATTAGCAGTCTTGAAGGTTTAATAGATCCTTAACCATCTATATTAGTTTAAAAATGAGTGTAGAAAAGAAAACGTCTTATTTAAGTGGATCAAATTGCAAATCAAAACTTTCTAAATCCATCAAACACTCAGTGAGTCAGAATTAAGTTATTTTTTTTCATTTTGAATTTCGACATTTTAGACATTGAACATTTAAAATACTGCTTAGATTCAAAATGCAGCATTCACTGCAATTAATACAGCTGAAATGCTTTTGAAGGTTAAAATACAAATATTAATATAAAGTAATTATTGCAGTACAATCAAAATTCAAAAGTTGTGTATGATTGCTGACACCTCACTGCACCATACACAATTGTTTTTAGTGTTGGTTGTAATACAGCTGAAATATTATTGAAATTCAAAATATATAAAAATTAATAAAAAGTAGTTACAGCAATATATCCAAAATCCAAAGGTTGTGCATCATTGCTGACATTGCACTGCACCATACACAGCTGTTTTTAATGTTGTAAATAATGCAGCTGAAATATTATTGAAATTCAAAATATATAAAAATTAATAAAAAGTAGTCACAGCAGTATATCCAAAATTCAAAGGCTGTGCATCATTGCTGACACCTTGGTGCACCATATACAACTGTTTTTAATGTTGTAAATAATGCAGCTGAAATATTATTGAAATTCAAAATATATAAAAATTAATAAAAATAACTACAGTAATATATCCAAAATCCAAAGGCTGTGCATCATTCCTGACACCTTGGTGCACCATACACAGCTGTTTTTAATGTTGTAAATAATGCAGCTGAAATATTATTGAAATTCAAAATATATAAAAATTAATAAAAAGTAGTCACAGCAGTATATCCAAAATCCAAAGGCTGTGCATCATTGCTGACACCTCACTGCACCATACACAGCTGTTTGTAATGTTGTAAATAATGCAGCTGAAATATTATTGAAATTCAAAATACATAAAAAATAATAAAAAGTAGTCACAGCAATATATTCAAAATCCAAAGGCTGTGCATCATTCCTGACACCTTGGTGCCCCATACACAGCTGTTTTAATGTTGTAAATAATACAGCTGAAATATTATTGAAATTCAAAATCCAAAAAAATAATAAATAGTAGTTACAGCAATATATCCAAAATTTAAAGGTTGTGCATCATTGCTGACACTGCACTGCACCATACACAGCTGTTTTTAATGTTGTATATAATTTAGCTGAAATAGCTTTATACTTTATATTAATGTTTATGTATTTTGAACATCAATAGCATTTCAACCACATTACATGCATCACTAAAACCACTGTATATGGTTCAGCAAAATGTCAGCAATCATACAGAAGTTTTGGATTTTGGATGTAATGCAATAACTGCTTTATATACATTTTTATTTATTTTGAACTTCAATAATATTTCAGCCACATTACATACAACACCAAAAATAACTGTGTATGGTGCAGCTAGGTATCACCATTCATACAATTTTTTTGGATTTTGGATCTAATGCAATATCTCATTTAAATAATTTTTCATATTTTTTGAATTTCAGTGCAGTGAGGTGTCAGAAGTCATACAGACTGTTTGGATTTTGGATATAATGCAATAAATATGTTATTTTTTTATTTAATTTGAACTTCAATAGTATTTGCCCACCTTACATACAACACTAAAAACCACTGTGTATGGTGCAGTGCAGTGTCAGCAATGATGCACAGCCTTTGGATTTTGGATATAATGCAATAACTACTTTATATAAATTTTTATTTGTTTTGAACTTCAATAATATTTTGGCCATCTTACATACAACACTAAAAACAGCTGTGCATGGTGCAGTGCAGTGTCAGCCATGATTCACAGCTTTTGGATTTTGGATATAATGCAATAACTACTTTATATTAATTTTTATTTATTTTGAATTTCAATAATATTTTGGCCATCTTACATACAACACTAAAAACAGCTGTGTATGGTGCAGTGCAGTGTCAGCCATGATTCACAGCTTTTGGATTTTGGATATATCCCTGTAACTACTTTTTATTAATTTTTATGTATTTTGAATTTCAATAATAATTCAGCTAAATTATATACAACATTAAAAACTAAAAATAGCTGTGTATGGTGCAGTGAGGTGTCAGCAATGATGCGCAGCCTTTATATTTTGGATATATTGCTGTGACTACTTTTTATTAATTTTTATGTATTTTGAATTTCAATAATATTTCAGCTGCATTATTTACAACATTAAAAACAGATGTGTATGGTGCACAACCTTTAAATTTTGGATATATTGCTTTAACTTTTATCAATTTTGAATTTCAGTAGCACTTCAGCTGTATTACACCCAACACTACAAACAATTGTATATGGTGCAGGTAAGTTTCAGCAATCATACACAACTGTTGAGTTTTGAATGTACTGTAATAATTACTTTATATTAATATTTGTATTTTAACCTTCAAAAACATTTCAGCTGCATTAATTGCAGTGAATGCTGCATTTTGAATCTAAGCAGTATTTTAGCTACATTGCATCCTCAAGTGACATTCAAAGTTTGTGTGTCATCACTGAAACTTATCTGCACCAAACACTGCTGACTTAAATTTTCAATGTCTAAAATGTCGAAATTCAAAATGAAAAAAATGTACAAGATTTAAAACTTACATCTGACTCACTGAGTGTTTGATGGATTTAAACTTTTGATTTGCAATTTGATCCACTTAAATAAGACGTTTTCTTTTCTACACTCTCATTTTTTAAACTAATATCTTAGATGGTTAAGGATCTATTAAACCTTCAAGACTGCTAATGTCTGTCGATTACTGATCTCCCTCATCAAGCAAACTAGCTATATCAGTATGCAGGTAATATCAGTTTTTACAGGTAAGGTATGTTCAGTACTGTTAGGACAAGTATTGGCGAGTACATTTTAGTTACAGGTCAAAGTCCTTTTTCTAAATTAAAGTGGTTTGTATTTCCAACCATAATTTACAGTAAATAACACCATTAATCAGATGTGCATGGACACAGTGTTTATGGAGCTATTGACGTTCTATTGTCTGGCGGTGTGTATTGTTAGCACGAACAATCAAAATATGTATTTAAATGCACTGAAACGCTTTGGAGGAAAACAGAGGCGTGTGCATGGATGTGGGCGTGGTCTAGAAGTGCATGATTTTCCTTCCGACTGAATAACGTGTCTCAGTCCAATGGTATTAACACAAAATAGCGGTACGTTAAATGTCACCAAAACCGCAAAAGAACAGGTGTGCGTCACTCTCTGTGGTCAGACTGTCATGAATATGTAAGTCTGTACTGACCACCGTAGTCCGATCAAACGTTATTAGCGCTGAAAAGACGAATATCGAAAACAAAACTAACTTTACCGTGGTACCCCTCTGAGCGACTGACTCCGTTT